CAATTTTTTCCAATACATTTTGGAAACCGTAGTCCTTGTTATTGCACGTATCTCAAAATCTTATTTCAACAAATTTAAGGAAGTTTACACTTATTTTGTTCATTGTATTTTTTGCTCCTAAAGCGCTTTACTCTTCTTGTTGTTGAGCTTCTTTCGGATGAGTAGCAGTCGCGAACGAAAACGTTTCAAGTAGAAGTTTATAAGCTGCAAATTTATGTCAATAGAAGAGAGCATAATTTTATGTGATCTTGGCTATAATATCTTTTAGAAGAAATCTACTACATATTCTTAAAAGATGCTTTTTCAACCTAGATTTTGTTTGAATTTAGACTTTTCTGCTTTTCTTAGCTGAAAATGCACTTATGTTTATAGAACATCGTATTTACGAGTACATCGTCAAACAGCCATAGGCGCCTTGATCCTTTGCCCTTTTCGGACGTTTTTTTCCTTATTTTTTTGAGAAATTAAAATTTCTTGAATTCATGCAACTCAGAGGGCGAGGGTATGTAATGAGATGCTGATCTATTTGATTGGAAAGTACAATCCTTCAACTGGAAAGTACAGTCCTTCATTATGAGGTAACCTAGGTCGTCCCGGACCACCTACAATCACTGCTGATGGTTCCGATTTGACATGGTCTGTGCGAGCGTACGAACCAGTCATTGAATATCGAATCTACTACAGGCCCGAAAACGCAGATGAATGGAACAAGTACGAGAGCATTCGGGCTGCGAAAGGTACAATCTCTTCCTTTAAAATGGAAGTTGCGTCACTCGATGGCAACAATTTAGGTGACAATAATGGCGATGACATCTGGCAACATAGCGTTTCTTTATTACCGTATCTCGAAGCTGGTGTACGATACGAGGTTACAGTAAAGGCTCGAAATGCTCTTGGATGGGGATCGTTCGCACGGAATAATTCGCTTATCGAAATTCCAGCTGATACTCACGGTAGGTGGTTTAATTGATGTTTCTAAGGTAAGATAATGGAGTGCAAAGGTGCGGAATGACCTTGAGAGCGTTTGCAGTTTAATTGGCTATAATTTGAAAGCGTGCGAGCTTGGACAGACCTATGAGTTGAGATTGTGAGATGCAATGAAGTAATAAAATTTGGGCAACTGGTATTGAAGAAGTAGATGGTGAACAAATTTTGAAAGGCTTGAAGTGCGTTAACCTCTTTGTATCTTGGGTGTGGAAGTGATAAAGTGCAA